ATAAAAAACATTGTAATTGAATTGAAATGTAAATAAGCTCTTGGAAAATTGGTAGTTCAGTCTGTTCACGAGAGCTTTTGTAGGGACCTTGTACCGATTATCAACAAATCGTTATTCTTAGAGAGTTCCTCATGTTTTAAGGTCGGTAACAGCAAGCCGTACGCTGAAGAACTAGTTGCGGTTCTTGCAGAACACTACCTCAAACCAAGTGACTCAAAAATCGTGAGTTACTTGCAGTACTCTATCAGATTTCTTGGCAAGACTATGTTTCTTTCTGATGACCAAAAGATTCACAAATCGTAACATTGAGTTAGGAGCTTTTTCACCTTCGAAATATTTTTAGTATGAATTTCTTCTGCCTTTGGAGACGTCCTGCCCAGAGTTCACCGTATTTTTTGTTGTTTATGCCACACGTGTCCTACCGATAAATCGACCAATGGCAGCTGTTTTTGCTAGCTATATCAATAGAAACCCAGGATACTTCCTAAAAGGATTTAGAGATTCGCCTCATCTCGCTGACATTTTCCGGTCGGAGGTATGTACTCATTTTCCACTTCAAAGCTTGAACATGCTTAAATCTGTTTAGGTTTTTGAAAAGATGCTTGCTTATTTGCTTGACATGGAAGTAGAACCATCAGAGGATCGAGATGCTATGAACTTCCATACTGCAGTAATGGTATTGCTGGACAGGTGGAATTCCACTATAAGGAAGCCTCTCGATATCAGTATGTTTGCTTTTGTATAAGCTACTTATTTAGGTTGACGGTGAAATTTGTTAAGAGAGGCATGCTAAAATGCTCCACGAACGTGTGAGGTTCCTTCATCTTTGAGGTGTCCTCATTTAAGTACTATGGGGAAAAATAAGTGTTTAAAGGATGTGATTGGGAAATTTTGAGGCTTACTAATTCACTTCACGTCATGTTTCTGTGCTTCAAATAACACCCTTAAACTGCTACTGACAATTAGTATAAATTGAGAATATTAGCAGGTGTGAAATTTCCTAAAATTTGCCACTCATCCTCACTCTGTCTTTCACCTTCTATTCGCTCTCATAAAAATGAAATCGAAAGCAGAGAAGCCAATAAAAGTGGCATATATAAATTCGCTTACTGTGTTGAAGAAGCCGGGAGTAGGGAGAGAATGGAAGAACAAGGAAGTGCCATAGACCCCGTAAAAGTTAGCAGAGGGCGACCATTGTAGACGTAAGGGACTGACCTTTTTCTTCATTGGAATATGACTTCATTGATTGTTTTCATTGCTAAATATTCAGGCATGCTCTTTGATCCGAAAGTACGATGGTCTCGTTTTCGATGTGATGCCCTCTGTATTATCGGTTCTAAAAGTTTGGCAGCTTGC